GCACCCGAAATCATTTGGTCTGGCCCTGCCAAGGCATTAGGGGTGAGTTCATTAAATGTTTGGCCAAATATAGCAGGCTAATTTTTAAGTTGATAATTTTGTATGGCCCGTAAATGATGTTAGAAATATCCAAATGGCCCCTGGCAGAAAAAAGGTTCCCCACCCCTGCTCTAAGTTATAGAGTTCATGCAAAATACTTCTTGTCTATGGACACACACATAGTATGTCCCAATGAGACTCAATTGCCCCTCCCCCCTCCCCAAAAAAAGGCAGTCGCAACCTTCCTTTACTCCACATAGGCTCACTGTGAGTCCTCCTCTAAGGTTAATCCTGCCAGCTCCCTCATTTAGTTATTGGGCTAAATGAACTATTTGACATGTGCATACGTAATATTTATACGAGCGATGCCTCTTTTTTGGAAAATTACCTCTGACAGAGGGCACAGGAAGGACTACTGACTCAGAGAAGAGAAGACCTGCCGTGGCCCCTGCAGAGCAGCCGCTCCCAGCCCCACCCATGAAACAGGAGGGTCAGGGGCCACCACTTCTCCCCATGTTGGACCACAGCTGTGTGGATCTTAAAAAGCAGAAAAGAAAAAAGAGAGAGAGAAAACTGAAAGAAAATACAACACTCCCCCCACCAACACTGCAGGTGAAAGGTAGCTTGTGCCCGAAGGAGCCACAAACAGGGCAGCAACCCTGGGCTCCTGCCAAGGCCCAGGGAGAAGAGGGCTGGGCTGGGCAGGACAGGCCACCATGGGGAGACGCTGGGCTCACGCTGCCTTAGAACAGAGCCTGGATGGAGACTGTTTACTTGGGTGACTTCCAGCACGTTTTAGGCATAAAGATTTTTTCCAGGAAGGTGGAGGGAGGCGCGGGCAAGCACTGCCGGGCCTATGAGCTGGTGTGTGTGTGTGTGTGTGTGTGTGTCACACACACACACACACACACACGTCCTGCCATTTCAGAGCATGTGCAGTGCCTGCTTCCAGGTCTTTTTCTCTTTCCCATTCAAAGCTACTCTAACTGAACCCCTTTCTCCTACCAACCACCCCTCCTGCCCCCAAGGCAGGCTGTGGCCCCCCGCTGGCTGGCTCCCTTGTCTGGCCTCTGCAGATGCCCAGGGCCCCTGGGCAGGTGAGGGCCTTGCTCCCTCTGAAGGCTCCAGGGTCAACTTCCTGTTGTGTTGGTTTCCTGCAGGATCCACTCCAGGCAAGAAGCAACCCTTCTCCCACCTCCCACGTGGGAAAGCAAACATCTTGAGGACCAGATGCCTGTGGAGGCTCCCGCAGACCTCAAAGCCTTGTTCCTGCAAGGACAGGGAAGGGATTGTTTATTTCAGCCTGGCTGGGAGCCCAGCTGTGTCACATGGAACCCAGGTGCCCAGCCCGGAGGGGGAGTGCGGGGGGCGGGGAGGGGGAGCGGTATCTACTGATAAAGCCTCTTCAACAGTGGTATCGGCAATAACACTGGGATGTGCACTAAACAATCTGGTCCTGTGTTAAACGCTTTACCCACCTCATCTCATTTAATCCTTGGAACAACCCCATGCGGGGTATCATTACCCGTTTTATGAAAACGGCTCAAAGAGGTGAAATACCTTGCCGAAGGCCACAGGGCTGGTGAGTAAGGTGACCAATTGGCACCGCCTTTCAGTTACCAAGCTCTGTCATTCACACTCACTGACACTCCTGGAGCCCTTGTGAAGTCAAGAGAATGCTCTCCATTTACCAGGAAGAAACTGAAGCACGAAAGCGTTTGGAGGCTCTGTTAGGGCCCCAGCTCCCCCCAGCAGAGGCCCTAACCCAAAGGATGCACCTGGAGCCGGAGCAAATGGAAGGTCCTCCATGGCCTCACCCGTCTCCCCTGGGAGGCACGCCCAGCGCCGGGGCCTCCCGCTCCCTTCCCCTCACCAGGGTCTCCCTTCCCCTCACCAGGCTCTCCCTTCCCCTCACCGGGGTCTCCATTCCCCTCACCTGGGTCTCCCTTCCCCTCACCTGGGTCTCCCTTCCCCTCACCGGGGTCTCCCTTCCCCTCACCTGGGTCTCCCTTCCCACTCACCTGGGTCTCCCTTCCCACTCACCGGGGTCTCCCTTCCCCTCACCTGGGTCTCCCTGACGTGTACCATGCACCTGGCTCTCCGGGGAAGTGGCCACGCAGGCAGACGGTGCCCACCTTCCCCAAGAGCAGGAGCAACCGGCCAGGGGCAGGCAAGGAGCTGTCTGGACTCCAAAGGCCCATCGCAGGGCACTAGGGCATCAGTGCCATGAGGCTTCTCGAGGACACAGGCGCCACACCCTAGAGCTACAGCCTGGCTAGGAGGTAGGTGCCAGGCTTGTGTCTGCTCAGGCTCTGCAGCTCACTCCCTTTACAACCTCAGGGCTGCACTGCACTTGAGCCGTGTCCTCACTACACAGAGGATGCATCTACATCACTGTGCTCGTGACCAGCCATCTCCCAAGGCAAAGGCAGAGAGTTCGGGCGCCCTGGCCGTCTGGCTCAGCCTCCCTGTGGAGTCTGTGCTGCTGTAGGTCACGGGAGGTTGGGGGCGGGGGGGTTTAAAGAGGCCTCACCCCCTCCCAACCACCCTCTAGGCCCAGAATTAGCCTGTATATCAAAGATGCTCAGGGCAACCTCACCACAGACCAACTATGGCCCAGCCCTGAGTACCCATTCATTATAATATAAGCCCACCTTCTAGGAGAACTCCTTTAAAAACATGTTTTCCTGCCCTGGCCAGTGTTCTCAGTGGTTAGAGCGCCAGCCTGCACACAGAAGGGTGGCAGATTCAATTCCCAGTCAAGGGCACTTACCGGTCAGGCGTGTGCAGGAAGCAACCAATAGATATGTCTCTCTCACACTGATATCTCTCTCTCTCTCTCTCTCTCTCTCTCTCTCTCTCTCTCCCCCCCTCCCTCCTTCCCTCCCTCCCTCCTCCCCTCTCTCCCTCCCTTCCACTCTAAGAGAAAAAAAAAAGATCAATGGGAAAAATATCCTCGATGAGGATTAACAAAATAATAATGTTTTTCTTACAAACCCTCCTAAAAAGTAATTCCAATAGTAAAATACTATTGGGTTTCGTGGTGGTTCTTTTTCCTATTTTTATTGATTTCAGAGAGGAAAGGAGAGGGAAAAAGAGATAGAAACATAAATGATGAGAGAATCACCGATCGGCTGCCTCCTGCACACCCCCAACCAGGGATCGAGACTGCAACCCGTGCATGTGCCCTGACCAGGAATCAAACGAGTGACCTCCTAATTCATAGATGGACGCTCAACCCCTGAGCCACACTGGCTGGGCCTATAGGGTTTTTATAACTGCTGGAAAGAGCAAAACACCGCACCGACTAAAACATCCACCCATCGAAGCAGAACAGGAGCTGGCGGCCTCCTGGCGCCCGCCCCTGCCACCTGGCTCAATGGGCGGATACGCACGGGGTCGCACCACAAGCCCCCCCACAGGCCCGAGGCTGTCCGTGGAGGGCTCCCCTCTGCCCAGGGCGATGGGGACACCGTGGAAGGCACAGCAGATGGGAAACCAGATCCTGCTGGCGTCACCGAGCCACTCAGATCAAACCAAGCCCGAAACTCACCCCACCTCTGGACTTTCCAGTTTCAGGAGCCAAAACCCTCCTCTCATTGTTCAGACCATCTGAACCGGGTTCTGTTACCTGGGCTGTAAACGCTCCCTACTGGCACAGGGCCGGGCGTCACTCGTGCGTGCGGTCAGTCCTGCGAGGCAGCGTGACCGCGGGCTGCCCCCTGGACGGGCTGCACCCGCGGGGGCGCTCTGAGCCGTAGAACATTCTGTAAACAGCTATGAGGACAGGAGTGGGTGGGGACCCAGGGCAGCTGGGTCGGGGGGTGACCAAAGGGCTGCCTAGGCCCTTTGCAGATAGAACCCGTGTTTGTTGGGGACCCCCACATGTGTACCCCTTATTCTAGGCTTCTTTTCTGTTCTCATCCATCTACTCAGAGTCCGACAAGGTGGCTAAAAATGGCCTCAATGCTGAATAAACTAACTGGAAAACAAACCCAGCCCTAGCCTTGCCCGAGAATGGGGCTGTGGTCTGTAAGGGGTCTATTCCTCAGGTCTACCTGAATAAACGGGACCACGGAGCCGGCCAGGAGCTGCTGGTGCCACACACCAACAGGGAAGGTCTGGGGCCTCCACTTCCCCAGGCAGGCTGGCTCCGAGGTGCCTGGTGAGGTGGGCACGCCAGTGACCCCGCCAGAGAGAGGCCAGCAGGCACAGAGTCCACCTCCGTGCCCCAGCCAGGTAGCCTGGCTCATCCTGCCTGGGGCAGGACAGAGTGACCTAAACCAGCATTTCCTCTAGCCTCCAAAGTCAATTCTTCCACTGGGCTTCTCGCAGGCAGAGCTAACCACCAGCTGCCGGTGCCAGCGGTAACCTCCACGGAGGACAGCGGCCTTAAACCACCCGGTAAAACGCGTTTCAGGGTGCGCCAACCATGGGGGCTTTTACCCCCGCCCTCCTGTCGTGTCCCGCCACACCCTGCCCCACCGGGTGCCCTGGCAGCTGCGGATCCTGCCTATGCCATGTGATGTGACCCAAACAAGAACCACCAGAACCACAGCATTATTATAAAGATATATTCCATAAAAGAGCTTGGCAGTCAAAGAAAGCATCACACGTCCCAAACGCATTCTTCTTCCCCTAGTCTACAGGAAAAATTGTAAAAAAAAAAAAAAAAGGGAAAACATTATAACAGTATCATCAACAAACACCCACCAGCTACGCCACAGCAGCACGCGCGCCCGGCCAGGCGGTGGAGGCGGCACTCAGTCACTGCACAAGGACAGAACCGGTACCCGACCCAGAGGAGCAGGAGCCCGAGTCGCAGCTGCCCGCCGTCCCTAGGGCTCTGCACACACAACGACTTCATATCCAAGAGCAGGCCCAGAGCAGCCCTGACAGGAGGGGCGGGCAGGGTGGCCACAGGTATCCCGGTTGGGGAGAAAGGAGTCACCTCAAAAATTAGCATCAGAATGTCCCGAGCCTCTCCCCAGCTGCAGCCGGGGTGGGCACCGAGGCCTGGCCCGAGCTCTCTGCAGGAAGCGGCCTCAGCGTGTGGCCTGAGGAGCCGGGCGAAGCTCCCTGACCTCGCAGTGGAAGAGTCATATTCAAGTTCCAGGTGACAGTTTCAGTAGCACCAAGACCAGAAGACAGTGCGGCCGAGCGAGCGGGGAGGGCAGTGGGTGCGGCTGGGTGCACCTGGGTCGTGGGGATGGAGAGGAGCAGCTGGCGGGACGGGGCTGGTTCTGGAGACACTCATAGGAACTAGAAGGGATGGCTTCAGTCCCAGACACAGTAAGGCTGCTCGGAGGAGAAGGCCGGAGGAATACAGATGGAGTGAGAACATTCTTGCCCCTATAAATAAACTATTTACACGCTTTAAGAAAAGAAGAGCGCAGTCTCAGAGAAGAGCCCCGTCTCAGTCCCTCGTGCCTCCAGGGCGTAAGCCTCCAGGTCGGGTACCAGTTCTGTCCTTGTGATGCAGAGGAGACTGGAGCAGCACTCGGCCGGCCGGCCGGGAGGGAGGGAGGGCAGCAGGCCAGGCTCACCGCACGCTCAGGCTTCCTGCGCTTGGACACGGCTGAGGGTCCTGCAGACCCGCCCGCCTCCGAGGTGCACCTGTCACCCCATCCCGTTACAGGCAGCACCCTCTGCTGCGGGGAGAAGCCCTATCCATGCATGCTGGTCCCCTAACCAAGTCCCACTCACAGAGGACACGGCTGCCCGCCAGGCCAGCACCGATGTCGCGAGTGGTGAGGGGCCAGGGCGCCTGCAGACACTGGGCTCCAGGAGGCCCGGTCAACCCTCCTGGTAGCCACAGGAGCCGGTCCCTCGGTCGCCACCCCCACGTAAAGACTATTCTGTCTCTGGGCCGACCCCCGCAGGGAGCCCGGTCACAAGTTCCTTCTGTGCAGAGGGTGAAGACGAGGCCCTCGGTCTTCAGCACCAGCAAGCAGGGTCAGAGGTCACGCCACGCTGATGCTGAAGACGGTGCTGGCTCTGGCGGGGCGGCCACTTCGCTCCCTCTGGACGTGAAGTGGACATGAAGGGCTCTGGCCTCCACGTGGCTCAGCTCTGCTCGCTCCCCGCTGCTCCTCAGAAGTGGTGGCCGGCCTTCACGGCCTCGATGTCTGAGATCAGAGTCTTCGCCAGGAAGATGCCGAATATCTGAAACCAAGGCCAGCAGAGGCAGCAGCGTCAGCGCGGGACCAAGGGGGTGTGGGCCCCGTGGGCAGGGCGAGGCGGGTGCCGCAACCACTGCCACTCCTGCCCAGGCACCGAGGACGCAGCAGGAGTAACCGTGGGGCATGTGGCAAAGCAAGACCAGCCCACCAGTGAAGTGAGCCCTGGGCCCGTGTGGCTGCACCCCAGGACCCTGAAGGGGCAACCAGCAGGCACCATAGAGGCAAAGGGACACACCTGTGCCCGGGGCTAAACAAAGATAAAACAGGCTCCCCCTGACTGGTTCCGATTCCCAGATAATACCTCCCGAACGTTTCCGTAAACCCGAGTTCCCCAGAAAGCCCAGGCAGCCCTGATCCGACTGTGGGTCTCTGAGGCTGACCTCGGGGCCGGATAGACAGGTGGGAAGACTGACGTTTTTCCACCGAATGTGACCCTGGTCACCTTAGAAGTTCTATTTTTTATCCTCCCCTTTAAAGTCTTGTGGTTTGTATTTGATGAGCCGGTCCCTCTGTACTGATTCCTTTGCCCACTTTTCAAGTAAATTTTTTCTTTCCTTTTCTGGATGCTTGTCTCCCAGCCTTCCGCTGAGATCACTCACCTCGCTGCTGAGGGAGGGAGGAGTGTGTGGGAGGCGGCTGGCGGCCCCAGGCCCCTCAGTCACCCGCCTCAAGGCCAGGCCAGAGCCAAACGCTTTCTAAAAGGTTTTCAGAGAGGAAAGGCGGTTTGGTTCAGTGGATAGAGCGTCGGCCTGCAGACTCAAGGGTTCCAGGTTCGATTCCAGTCAAGGGTATGTACCTTGGTTGCGGGCACATCCCCATGTAGGGGGTGTGCAGGAGACAGCTGATTGATGCATCTCTCTCATCGATGTTTCTCTCTATCCCTCTCCCTTCCTCTCTGTAAAAAATCAATAAAATATATTTTTTTAAAAGGTGCGTTTCCGCACCTAACAGCAGCGGCAGCCCCAGAGGCTGGTCCTAGAGGCTGCTGGGGCTGCGGCAGCTCGCCCGAGCTCTGGGCACGCCGGGGAAAACCGCTTTCTCTGACTCCCTGAATTCTTGACTTTCTGCTGCCAGTTCTCCCATCAGACCCTCGCCAGCCTGCTCACCCCACTCTCACTGCCCCCTGGTCACCACCACCTTCCCACCTGTGGAATCTGGGTCAACGGAACAGGTGCAGCCGTGAGGGACAGCGGGACAGACCTGGAGCAGGGAGATGGCGATGAAGACGCCAGCCACGATGTAGATATTCCGCGGCAGCCAGCCCTCCAGCGCTGGGATGCAGCCTTTCGTGAAGATGAACTCGTCCCACTTGCTCTTCAGCTGCAGGAAGATAGCACAGTCCCCTGAGCCCAGGACCTGGACGTCCCCACCCTGCACAGGGCCCCCCGGGGAGCAGGCAGCGGTGCCCAGGGCAGACAGAACCCCAGGAGGAATGTGAACTTGGGCAGTGTGTGTCAATAACCTGCCCAGCCAATGCCATGACCTTTAACCCCTTCCTTTGGGCTTCCACAGAGTTAAAGACCAACCTGTGCAGCCCCCCACAGCCCACGCCTGAGAAAGGGGTGGGGCTTACATGCTTGGAGAGGAAGCTGTGTCTTTAGAGAGCAACTGGGAGAAGGGGGTTCAGGGGCTTCCGAGTCAGAGGAGTTGGCTAGAGAAGGGACAGTGGCTTCTCCGAGGGTGGCCCTCAGTCCCAGTCAAGTGGCTCCAGAAGCTGGAGCCCGCAGGGACAGGCACAGCCCTGGAGTCCATCTTAAAACCAAGGTTGTCCCCGATTCTGACTGTGCTGGTCCCAGGCCCTAGTGGAGGCTCTACAAGCACACAGGGATCTCAGCAGAGCATGCACACCCTGCCCCTACCTGTCCCCACTCGCCCTCCCTCACCCCGCACCCCCTCCTCTTGCAGCAAGCAGCCCTGCCCTCACCCATCAGCCTCCACTGTGGCAACACTGATGGAACATTCACTCATTTTAGTGGTGTCAGGGGCCGAACTGTGTCCCCCTACAGTTCATGTTTAAAGTCCTAACTCTCAGAATGTGACTGTAGTTGGAGAGGGTGTGTAAAGAGGCGGATCTACTAAAATGAAGTCACTGGAGAGGGTCCTAATCCAAAACGGTTGTGTCCCGAAGAAGCGGACTTCAGGACACCAAGACACAGAGGGAAGACCAGGTGAGGACTCGGGGAGGAGCAGACGGCCTCAGAAGACACAGCCCTTGGTCTTGGACCTCTAACCGCCACGGCCGAGAAAATCAATGTGCTGTGGAAGCCACAGAGCCTGCGGTGCTGTGTTCTGGCAGCCCGAGCACCTAACTCCAGTGGCACCTAACGCCACTGAATTCCTAACTGGAAGCTGCTGTCGGTACGGGCCCGTCTCTGTGAAGGGGAGGTCAGTGCAGAAGGGTTCAGGCTCTCGAACCGGGGTGCGCGCCCCAGTACCCATGGCCAACAGGGCCGCCACTCCCGTCACCAAAGGCCACTGCAGCAAGGGCTGGCGTGGGACTCACTTCCTTACGGCCAGGCACACACGCCCTGTGGCCTGCAGAAAGCCCCGAGGACTGACACGCCTCCAGCTCCTGCAGCTGCATCCTGAACCCCTCAATAACAGACACCCTGGGGCCCCAAGAAATCTCTTTTGAAATGTAGTCTTTGTCCCCAAACTTTTGTTTGCTCTCTTTCCACTAATGTAGCAACTGCGAGGTTCTGTGACAACAGCTCACGGGGCTTGAAATCACAGCCACGCTGCTCGGGGAGCCCCACCGCCCCTCAGGGCGTGTGTGCCGGCCCCTGCGCCCCTCTCCCTGGTCCTCCCTCTCCAATTGCACCTGCTATGTCAGGAAGCTGCACCACGGGGAGCAAACCAGAAGGACGCACAGTTATCTGGGCTCTCACCTGAGTCCTGACATCATAGCCACACTGTGTGTTCAACACTTTTTGCTGCAAGAAAAGCAGAAAACATTGGTCATTCTTGTTCCCTTGAGAAGCTGGTGGTAGAGGCTCTGGAAGAGTCACAGCCAAACACAGCAAATCCCGTATACATCCCAGCATGGCTGCCGTCCTCCGACTCGGCTGCCGACCAGCCTCTCCTGCTGGGACGGGCGGGCCAACCTCCCGTGCGAAGGGCTAGACCAGTGCTGGCGAACCTATGACACACGTGTCAGAGGTGACATGCGAACTCATTTTTTTGGTTGATTTTTCTTTGTTAAATGGCACTTAAATATATAAAATAAATATCAAAAATATGAGTCTTTGTTTTACTATGGTTGCAAATATCAAAAAATTTCTATATGTGACATGGCACCAGAGTTAAGTTAGGGTTTTTCAAAATGCTAACACGCCGAGCTCAAAAGGTTCGCCACAGTACGCACCCTGGCTCCTCTGTGGCAGCCGTGCAGCCGTGGCCACGTGGCACAAGAGCAGCCAGTGCCAACATAAAGGCGACGGGCGCCACTACAGCTCAATCGAACTTGGAGTATGGACATTGACATTACATTTTCACGTGTCACAGAATATTATCCTTTTTAAAATTTTCAACCATTTATAAGTGGCTGAATCATTCTTGGCTTGAAGGTCACACAAAAGCAGGCGGTAGGCCAGGCCTGCCCACCGGTCAGCTCGCCCCTCCCTGTGCTGGGAACCTGGCCCTTCAGCAGGGAGGATGCCCGGCGGCCAGCCCTGGAGCCGCACCAGGCCCGTGGCGACAACCACGTTCCGTGAAGGGCTCAGTCCCGCTCAGGCTCAGCCTGGCAGACACTCCCTGCTCCTTCCCAGGTTTCTGACACCCAAGGGCTGGGCTGTGGGCTGGGCATGGAAGCAGGTGAATAAGGAACAACAGAGCAGAATGCTCTGCCACCCAGGTGGCACGTACCCCC